TTGGAATTTTGAGTATGCTTATTATATACGTGCCCAGCTTGTTTTTCAAGCTGCAGAGTCTGGGACTTGAACCGCACAATCAGCCATGTGGGATCTAACCGCCTTACTCATCATGCCACTGGCTGGCCCAATTGTATATTTTGAATCACAAACCTTCTTAATTTTGAAGTTCAATTTATCTATTTTTGTTTATTTGTTTGTTTGTGCCTTTGGTGTCATAGCGAGAAAACCACTAATCCAAACGGATAAGGAATTTATATCTATGTTTTCTCCTAAGAGCTTTATAATTTTAGCTGATCCATTTTGGATTAATATTAGTATATGGGGACCAGCAGTTGGCGTAATGGCTATGTCGCTGGACTCTCATGTAGCCACAGTTTGAGTCCTGGACCCGGTGGCTTAAACTCATGTTGGGTGCATGTGCATGCGTGCCCAAAATCCTGAGAGGAAAATGGAGGCGAAGGGATTGCGGCATGGCTAATCCCCTGGGGGGGTGATTACTCACTTTCTATCTATCTGTCTTTTTGGGAAGCACACGTACCCTATAGCAAAAGCCTAAAAAAAAAAAGGAACATTCTTTACTCATTGAATTATCTGGGCATCCTTGTCAAAAATGAATGTACTGGGACCAGCAGATTGCATAGTGGTTGCATAACTGGACTCCCACATGGGTGACCAAAGTTCGGGAGCAGACCCATTGGCTTCAGAATCATGCTAGGCATGTGTGTGTGTGCCCAAGGTCCCAAGAGGAGAATGGAGGAGAAGAGATCGTGGTGTGGCCATCCCCCTTGGGGGGTGATTTCTCACTTTTTCTCTCACTGTGTCTCCCGACCACCACCACCACCATCACCAACCACCACATTCCTAGAGAGTGCATGCTCTTTAAGGCAAAAACTTGTTAAAAAAAATTGAGAGGCCAGCAGGTGGCATGGTGGTTAAGGGTGCTGGACTGTCACTTGCCCAACCGTGGTTCGAGTCCCAGATTTGGCGGCTTGCTTTCTCACTTTCCCTTCCTCATTCTGTCCCTCTGTGGTCAAATTGAAAGAAAGAAAGAAAGATAAAATAATTCTTTCAGAAAAAAATTGATTTCCCGTAAATATATGGGTTCAATGCTACACTCGATTCTATTCCACTGGTTTATATTTCTATCTTTATACCAGTACCACACAGTCTTGATGACTAACCCTTTGAAATAATTTTGAAATCAGGAAATGAGAGTTCTCCAATTTGGAATTTCTTTTTAAAGTTGTTTTTTGTTATTCTGGGTCCCTTGAATTTCTGTATGAATTTTAGAATCAGCTTATCAATTTCTCAAAAAGAAAAAATAAGTTAGTATTTGATAAGGATTTCCTTGAATCTGTAGATGAATTTGGGGAACATTAACCATCTTAACAATATTATTTCAATTCATGAACACGAATGTAGACTTTCTTCCCATTTTTTTAGGTCTTTTAATTTCTTCCAATAGTGTTTTGTAGTTTTCAATGTACTATTCTTGTGTACTTCTTTCATGAAATTTATTTTTATTTATTTTGTTTTTGATGCTATTATAAATAGAATTCTTTTAAAATTTCATTTCCCGATGACTTATTACCAGCTTAAGGAAAGGCAGTTGATTTCCATACTTGATATCGCGTCCTGCCACCTTGCTGATGGTGTTTATTCACTTTAATAGTTGTGTGTTTGCGTACATGTGCGTTCTTTAGGATTTTCTACATACAAAGTCAAGTCACCAACAACTAGAGATTGTTTTCCTTTTCCAGTCTGGATGCTTCATGTTTCTTTCTCTATCAGACATTTTGATTACTTTTTCTGGCAGATATTTTTAGGGAGTATTCTGATTTTTCACTGGGGAAAAAGGGGAAAAAGCCTGGGGGCCACTCACTGGACATTAGGAATTTTATTTCTATGCTCTTCTCCGTTACCTCTAACTGCTTTTTTGATCCTTTTGTCTCATAGTTAAATCTTGATTCCTAAACAGAACTTTAGCTTTTTTTATGCCTTTCCATACAAAACATTTTAGGGACTATTCTGATTTTTCATTGGGGGAAAAGGGGAAAAAGCTGGGGGCCACTGGACATTAGGAATTTTATTTCTATGCTCTTCTCCATTACCTCTAACTACTTTTTTGATCCTTTTGTCTCATAGTTAAATCTTGATTCCTAAACAGAACTTTAGCTTTTTTTATGCCTTTCCATACAAAACATGTCAAAATCAGAATTCAGGGTTCTGCCCGCTAGGAGCTCCGTACTACCACCCTCCCTGCAGTAGGCTTGTCACTTAGTCTCTCCCAGCCTTGACTCAACTAAACATGTTGGCAGCTCTTCCAGCTCCAAGATCTCGCCCCTCTATTTTTAATGGTCATGTCACCGAACTCCCACAGTTCGAGCCTTGGACCTAGTGGCTTAAAACTGACAGCCAGCGCATGTGTGTGCGTGCCCCAAGATCCCAAGAGGAGAATGGAGGAGAAGGGATTGTGGTGTGGGCATCCCCCCTGGGGGTGTGATTTCTCGCTTTCTCTTTCACTGCCTCTCCAGCCAGTGCACATACCTGACAGCAAAACATCTCAAAACACAAAAAACTTTCACAGATAGGAATAAAAATACAAAAGAACAGCTCAGGATGAAGTAACAAATATAAAAACTACAAACTTTCCATAGAAAGCCTAGAGGTGTCCGTAGAGAGTCAACAGCGAGATGCGATGGAGGAAATAAGAAAATGGCAAGGTGTATAATGCAGAGACATTCTTTTCGCTTTTCCTTCTTTCTTTCCTTTTCTTTTTTTAATTTGCCAGTGAGTGCATACACTCACCAGAGACAGAAAGAGAGGAAGAGAGAATAAGGACCCCCAGTGGGGGCATGGTCAGGCTGCGGTCCCTTCTCTATTTCTCTATCCTGTCAGGATTCGGGGCACACAGGCGCATGTCTTTCCGTTGCCAGGGCTGAGATTCAAATTGTCATGGGCTATGCGGGATCCAGCTCCCTTAGCCCTAGGCCATGGGGCTGGCCCAGAAAATTGCCTGAATTGGGGAACCAGCAGTTAGCGTAATGGCTATGTCACTGGACTCCCACATAGTCGACTGCGGTTCGCGTCCCGGACCCGGTGGCTTAAACTCACGCCGGGCGCGTGTGCGTGCGTGCCCAAGATCCCAAGAGGAGAATGGAGGAGAAGGGATTGCAGCGTGACCATCCCCCCTGGGGGGTGATTTCTCACTTTCTGTCTCTATGTCTCTCTCTGTCTGTCTGGCGAGTGCACGCACCCTATAGCGAAAACCTCTCCAAGAAAAAAAAAAAAAATTGCCTGAATTGGATGCCAGCTAATGGGAAACAAAGCAGACTTGTGAGGAGCAGGGCAGTTATAGAATGGCCAGGGCTTGAGAAACACCAGGCTTGTGTGTGTGCATGCCCACGATCCGGAAAAGAAGGAGAGGTAGAATAGGAATTGCATTGTGACCAGTCCCCATGGGGGTGCTTTCTCCTGTCCCTTTCTGTCTCTCTCTGGCGAGCACATGAGAACACTAGCCAAAAAAATAAAATAAAATAAAAAGAAAGAAAAACAAAAACAAAAACAAAACAAAACTGGAAAGATATTATGGATGAACATTTTTAAACAATAAAGAGGGAAAGAGGCTCAAGGTAAAAAGCCGATGTTAACTGATAAAAAAAAAAAAATGTCACCACCAATTTAAGTCCCTTAGGCCTGGCCAGGTCTCAATTATATGGACTTTTAGGCACTCAGAGTCCTACTTTTAGAGTTACTCTTGAGGAAGGATCAGTAGATGGCATAATGGTTATGTCACTGGACTCCCCACATGGCTGACTATGGTTTGAGTCCTGGACCCGGTGGCTTCAAACTCATGCCGGGCACATGTGTACGCATGCCCAAAATCCCAAGAGGAGAATGTGGAAGAGATTAGTGTGGCCATGCCCCCAAGAGGGTGATTTCTCGCTTTCTATCTCTTTCTGACAAGCGCACGTGCCCTATAGTGAAAACCTCTATTAAAAATAAAAACATTATTCCTGAGGGCCAGCAGTTAGCATAATGGCTGGTGCTGGGCTCCCATGTAGTCGACTGCGGTTTGAATTCAGGACCCGGTGGCTTAAACTCACGCCAGGCGCATGTGCGTGCTTGGATTGTGGTGTGGCCATCCCCCTGGGGGGTGATTTCTCGCTTTCTGTCTGTCTTTCTGGAGAGCACACGCGCCCTGTAACAAAAAAACCTCTCCAAAAAAAAAAAAAATTCCTGAAGAACCCATGTTTCTCCTCCAAGGCAAGGGCCACCTGAGACCAGAAAGTGAGGTGAACTGGCAGAGCTGGTTCTGGGGTGCCCTCAGAAGCCTAGGTATCAGTCAAGGTGGCTCCTGCCGAAATATGGAGCTTCTCCCAAGAGTAAGAAGTCCACCCTGCCCGTTTCCATAGACGGGTTCTCAGATAAGGTAGTACAAGCTAAAGTACAAAAACCTTTCCCCCTTGGGATCATGAAGCCCTCTCTGCTCCAGGAACTTCCGGACCTCCCAGGGGTTGGTTTATCTTCCTTGCCCTTGTGCAGTGCCGCATTCTTGGGACGCCATCTGATCCCTGGAGGGGACTGTAATTTAGGCAGGAATGAGCTGGACTGGCCAGCCTGGGTTGCAAGCTTTCCCAGGGAAAGGTTCCCCTGCCGCTCTCTTCCTCTCCCAGAAACTCCTGTCTCCATGTGACCATGGGACGACGAGACCTGGCATTTCCCCAGGGCCAGGTGCCAACTGGTATTAATAGGTTTGACTTCATGGCCGTAGATTCCAGGTTGCCTGCTGCCTGGAGTTTAACCTACAGTTACCTTTCGGGAGGGCGGGGCAGGTTAGTGGGTATGAGTCAACTATCGGAGCTTCCACATTTCTTTTTCTTTTTTTTACCCTTAAAGGTACCGGACATAAATAGGGTCCCAGGAGACTTTGAATCACAGCCAAAAAATAAAAATAAAAAAATAAAAAAGTAAATAAAAACTCCCAGACAGTGTAATCAGATTCACTTCACTTTTATTATGAACAAACACAATCTCGGATCAGTACAACTAGCTTCAGAGTTGATATTAATAGAAATTATTCCAAATTATGTTTAGGTCACAAATAACTACTATCCCACATAAAAAGGGAAACATCCCACCCAATCAAAGAAAAGGTATCCTGCATATATTTCCATGGCAATGGGTTTATGCACTCTCAAATTTCTTCTGGCTAGTTATCCACCACTTATCCAATGGTTTCAGTCAACCCTTCGGAGAAAACCGTATAGACTAACGATAGCGTCTGAGACCGTGGACATAGCAATTTCATGCTGGACACTGCTACTATAAAAATACTCGAGACTTGAGAACTCCTCTGCTGAAGGATCCCCAAATGCTTATAAAACGCATTAGTCACGCCTCAAAACTGCCCTTTGAGGTAGGTCAGTATTATTATCCCCATTTTAACAGAAGGAAAACTGAGGCACATTATAGTTAAGTGACTTGCCCGGGGTCACATAGCAAGTCAGTGGCACAGTGGTAAGAGAGGCCGTGGCCTTAACCTCCAGCATAACATCGCCACCTTGCTTTCTTGACCTTCCACGCTGACCCGGTTGAGCTACACTTACAGAGAATACACTCAGGATACTAGCAAACCAAGGAGAAAAATGTCCATTTCAAATTCTACAACCATCTTTTCATCTAAAAAAAAAAAGGAACTATAAATCAAATACATTCAAATTACTCCCACCCTCCATCCAATGTGGGCACTTAATAAAAACAGCCTTAAGAAGTTTCCACAATGAAGCCCAGAAGGGAATCCCACGCATTGCTGTACTGGTCATCCTTCAGCTAGCCAGGCCCCTTCCCCCACCAGCCACTTCTGTGGACTCTCAGGTGCAAAGGGACTCCACAGGGGTGGGCAGAGGGGAGTGAGGGCAGGCTCCTATCAGTACTGATTAGAAAAGATGTAAGGCACCCAGATAAGTGGTCAGCACACCAATGAAGCGAGGACCTTAGAGATTCGGACTCGGGTTTCTGAGCTGCTCCTTAATGTGTCACTTGAATTGAGCTTTGGAATTTTGGAAATAAGTGTCCCTGACTCAGCAGACACACACCCCTCTGCACACACCCACCAACACGCCATGGCCCTCAGCCTGAGGTCTCCATGCAGTCCCGGGTGTAGGGCTGCAGTGTGGATCACGATCCATGGAACACGATCACAATAGAAAGAAGAGAAAGTTGCTTTTATTATCCACATTTTAGAAAGCAGATATCCGATGACCTGTGGAATGGAAACGACATAAGAGATATCTCTAAGGGCAGGCACACAGGTCACCGGATGTTCCAAAATGTTCTCTTCTCCTGAGATGAACAGCTCAAATGACAAGGATGCCTTCACTGCAGGCTAGCGCCTGAGGCCTCTACTCAATGAACACAGGAAGAAAAGGCCCTCCTGCCTTCCACTGCTGGGACTCAACAGTGGACAGAGCGAGGGGTCTTGCACATTTCCCGTCTTAACAGAGCAAAGCCAGACTTCCACACTGAGGACTGAGGTACAGGGACAGGAGTGGTCCAAGGGTCTCAAAACATTAATGTTCTGTTTCTCCCTCCCCCTCAGACTCCTCCTAGACTATCACCTGCCCTAGGCTGTGTTGTGGGGAATGCTGGTTAGTTTGCTGAACACTCACGGCATCTCAGATCCCGAGTCTCATCCAAAGCGTTGCAGGACACCCTGGCTCCAGGAAACAGGCCTCCCTTCACAGTGAGGCACTTGGGAACTTGCCTTTGTTTCTCGTGCTTCCCAGGGAGGTCTAGGCTTCCTCCTAGCTCTCCAAGCATTGCACTGTCAGCTGGGAACACAGACTCGGGCGGAACAGGCTTACTGAGCAAGCAAGGGGGCATTTGGCGTGCTCTCTGGGTCTGGCCCAGATGGAGATGGAAAACCCCTGGGCTCCACGGCTGGCTCACTGGTACAGTGTGAGCTTTGGGCTTGGCCACACCTCATGGGAGAGCCTCTAGGAGCCAGGGGTATCTCTAGGATGTTTGGCCTCGTCCTGAGCCAGCAGTGTGGCATGGGGCATGGGGTGTAAGTGGAGGGACGCTGGAGGCAAAGTGACAGTGGCAGCTAGCTCTATTTTCTGAAGCTCAACAGTGGTTCAGTGCCCCTGAGCATGCTGTCTGCAGATGAGGGAGCTACCTGGACAGCCAGTCCTCACAGCCTGAAGACAGAGGAGGCTGCTGTCCAGAAAAAGAAAACTAGGGAAGAGAGAGAGAACCAAGAGGAAAGGGACAGAGAAGGTGGAGCCAGGAACCCAGAATCAGGTGGTTGAGATTCCTACCTCACCCTGCCCCCAGGCACTCCTAGGCTTTAGGCAAGATATCAACACAGCAAGGAATGAGAGAAGGGACACACCAAGGAGAAGCCTGCAAGATTCTACTCCTTCCACGGAGACACTGGAACAGACTGAACATTTAACTTGTTTCACTAGGACCGCCAATAACGCAGTACCCTCTGAATCCGCGGGCAGTGTTCTCAGAGCCCTTCCTTTGTGACGTTCTCTTAGGAAGAGCCCACAGAGCCCACCTTGGCCTCTCCACCTCTTTCCAGCCGTGGAGGGGGAAAGCAGACAACCCAGCTAACTCCTTCTCTCCTCTTCAAACACCCCTCTTGTAGAGGGAAATACCCTAAGTGAAATACTTTAATTTTGCAAGCGAAGTATACACGTAGATCTATTTTTAGATTTGAGCCCACTACAGCTCCTAAAATCCTTCCTTTCGGGGGTGTTTGGAAATGCCAAAGCCATCTTCTTACTATGAAGGGAAGCCACCACTGTCCTGAAGGTGACAGAGCAGAGAGGGGAAAGAACCTGGATGAGCAGCTCATGGAATCCTCCCAATTCTATGAGCTGCGGCATTCACCCCTTCTGGGGACACCCAACCTCGAGACTTCTTGTTCTGTGAAATAAGAAATCTCCTTGTTATGAAAGCAGGGGGAAAAAAGAAAAACTTGCCCAGCAGAGAGGTCACTTTTACTACAAATTAGGTGTTTCTTCTTTATCCTCAGCCTAAACTACACGGAGACGTCGAGGTGGGTTTTCCTGTCCTAACACTGCCAAGCCTCATCGCCACTGCTACTCAGAGTTGGGAGAGAAAGGAAGCCTGCCTCCCGGTGAGGTGCCGGGTCCCAGCGGGCAGGAAGCTCTGTGTCTGCTCAGAGAAGGGCGTCCTGGGCCTTGTTTTCCACCCCACCCCATCTTTACTTATCAATCCTACTGCCCGTGCGAACTCTCTCCCCTGGCAATTGACCTGCTTTAGAAGCTTTGTGCCGAATAGTCACCTTTCCAGTCCATCTAGCAAGAGACTGGGCTCGAGATAATGAACAGGAGGCTTGCCGGAGGATTTTGCTCTATCTCCAGCTTGAGCCACCTACCTTGAAACTCAGGACAGCTCCAGAAAAGAAAAAAAAAAAGAGTTCTCTGGGGCTAAGACCAGTTGTTTCAGACTACAGAAAGGTCGTCTAGGCTTTGGAAGCTGGGCACCAACCAGCGACTGATCAGCGGCTTCCCTGGGAGGCAGAGAAGGAGAAGATGGAGAGAGGGACAAAGCAGAGAAGAGGGAGACGACGATGGGGCGAGGAGAGGGAGAAGGGAAGAGGAGAAATAAGAATGAAATCAGCTTAGCATCATGAAGGCAGAGTTGTTGGCTTTCAATACTTGTGCATTGTACAAGAATACTGTGCTGGAATGGGTTAGATCGTCATCTTTAGCATCCTGGTAGCATTATTCAGTAGTTAATAAACAGAACATTACACCTCTGCCCAGCTGGCTTTTGGAAAAGGAACACGAGGGATCGCAAACTCAGCCGCTCTTGTAGGTTCCATCTCCAGTTCTTTTAATCCGGGCCAGCACCGCGGCCTTGGACACTTTCTTCCGGTCGTAAGCCAGGCCGAGGGCCGCCATGCAGTCAATGAAGAATGTGGTTAGGTTGATGTGCCAGCGGTACTCACTGGCGGAGTAGTCATAGGGAAAGGTGTGGTGATAGTTGTGGAAGCCCTCACCTGTGACAAAAAGCAAGGAGAGAAATGAGGGAGTGACAATGGATGGCTGTCTCCCTGATCTTCGCGTTCCTGTTATTAGCGAGGTGCCATGAACCTCAGAGAAACTTGCCATTGTTGAATGAATGGATGAATCCAACTTCCGCTACTCAGAGCCAAACAGATCCCCTTCAGGGACATCAAGAGACTCTAGTCATCCATAACTGTCTGTGAACTTTTTTTAAAATTTAATTTGCTACAGGGTGGGGCCAGCAGGTACTGTGGTGGTTAAGGTGCTGGACTCCCCCATGGCTGACTGTGGTTCAAGTCCCGGAACTGGAGGCTTTCTCTCTCTCTGGTGAGTGCATGTACCCTATAGCAAAATTTAGCATAATAATAAATAAAATTACATAAATATTTTTTAAAATAAAAAACAAATTTGCCATATGACATGTGCACTTGCCAGAGAGAGACAAAGTGAGAAAGAAAAAGCAAGAAAGCACTTCTTGAGGGGTTGAGCGTGTTGTAATCCCTTCTCCTCTTGGGATTTTGGGCACACACACCAGTGCGTTTTTCAAGTCACCAGGTCCAGGACTTGAACCTCAGAGCTGGTCATAAGCGATCAAGCTGCCTTAACCACCATGCCACTTGGCTGGCCCTCACCTAAGAACCTTTGTGGGAGGACAACAGGCAGTTTCTCTCAGAGGGTAAGATGACTAGAGAGAAGCTGCTCAAGCTGGAAATGGATTTAGGTTGGAAAATTCCAGAGCCTCACTAAACATTGTCCTGAGACCCCGTGCTTGTGCTCGGGTCGGCGGGGAGAAAGTCCAGAATGAGGAACTTGGGCCGTGCTTTGCAGAGGAGTAAAGGCGCACACCTTCCCTGTGGAGCCGGTGCTACCGCTGAGGGAGGGAGGTTCTAACAGAATGGGCATCGCCGACAGAAGTGCCAAGAGACCCAGGGCCACTGCCGGCTCAGGGTGGGCTGCTCTGGCTTCTCATTCTTTCAGTTTCTGTGATAAAAACAGTGCCATTCTGCATTCAGGACAGTATCTGCAACATGGGTAAACTTTGGAAACTCTATTCTTGGGGGACTCGTCTTCCTAAAGCACATGAAGACTAACACTGACCCTTATCAGGCTGGGTAAAGCCAGGATAAAGGAGAGCTAAGCTAACAGAAGAGCTTGCTGGGACCTTTGTAGATAGACCCCCCCCTCACCTCCTGAAGAATAATGATATTAACGACAGTCATGTGCAGGAAGCCCTACCAAGTAAGTGACACCATCCGGGGCATCTTAATAGTCCTCCTCCGTGACCCCCGAGGAGCCCTGTGAACCGAGCAGGAGCAGGGTAACACCAAGGCTCAAGGTAGTGGCGGAAGATCACTATTTCCATAAGCGGTGTTGCGGTCAGCCTCTGTGTAAGCATTAACCAGGCCTATGGTTGCTCCCATAAACAAGGGAGGGAAAAGGGGTCAATGGGTGGAAAAGGAGAAGACTTTGCAACTGGGACAGTGGGAGGCAGCCCCAGCAGGCTGAGGGAGGGCCGCGCGTTGGCAGACTGTGAGGAGCTTGTGACTGCAGGGAGGGAACTCAAGAAGCAAGATCAGAGTGGCAGGAGACAGCTGGAGAACAAAGGGTGCGCTGATAAGGATGGAAGCAGCAGGCATGGAGAGGGGTGACAACAGGAGCTACGCAACAGCTTTGAACTGAGAGCCAGAATGAGGCTGGGGAGTGGCTCACCACAGACCCGTCTGCAACTCAGGCCATGACTTATTCCAGAAACTTCCATTTCTGTGAAAATCTCACATTTATATGGTATAGGTGATTTATTTCAAGCATGGTCAAAGTAAGAGCATAGACAATAGCAGAAGGTGCCCGAAAGGAGGAGAGTGATCTGCATTAAACAAAGTGGGGGCAGGGCGGGTGGCGTGGTGGTGGTTAAGGAGCTAGACCCACCCCCACATGGCTGACCATGGTTCGAGTGTTGGACCCGGCAGCTTGCTTTCTCACTTTCTCTTTCTCTCTCATCAAATTTAAAAAACAACAACAACAACAAAAACAAATAAAATTCAATAACTATTCTTAAAAAAAAAAAAAAATGTCACCAGTGACTTTCTTTAAGGAAAAAAGAAAAAAGAGGCGCTGGATTCCCACATGGCTGACCGTAATTCAAGTCCCAGACCCAGCAGCTTGAAAAATCCCAGCTAATAAATAAAAAATGTTTTTCAAAAAGGAAAATAATACTTTTAAGAAAGATAGTAAAGGGGCCAGCAGGTGGTATGGTGGTTAAGGCTCTGAACTCCCACATGGCTGACTGTGGTTCAAATCTTGGACCTGACGGCTTGCTTTGTCACTTTCCCTCTTTCTCTCTGGTGAGCATACACGCCCTATATCAAATTAAAATAATAATAATAAGTTCACTGGGATTGGAATTACAGAGCAACAGTGAACATTAGATCAACTTGTGATCAAACCAACTGCCTTGTGGAGAGATTCCCTAAGCCATGTTGGGTGGGGGGCAGGCATTCCCAGCCTGGGACAGAAGTGGAAGAGCAAAGAACAGGAGAAGAGGGGACGAGGTGGACGGTTGTCGGGGGCCGACAGTCGCTTTGATGCCCTTGACATTGGCATCACCAAGCGAGACGTGGCACACACCGAAGAACGGCATTGCTGAGGTAGGAATCATTTAATGTGGCAAACTTGAAGGGGATGATGTAAATTACAATGATTCAGTCTGTGTCTGGCTGAGGTAGAAATCATTTAATGTGGCAAACTTGAAGGCGATGATGTAAATTACAATGATTCAGTCTGTGTCTTATACAGCATGTTTAAATATAAAACACCAGGCTTCCTGGTCACTTAGATGACCCTACATTCTACTTAAACATTTTCTGCACAAACAAGACTGTGGTGCAGCCTGGGGTAGAAAAAGGAAAACCCCAAGGGGCTCATTTGGAGATTTTCAGCAACCTGGAATTAAAGGCAATTTTAAAAAAAGAATCATCTATTTAATTAACTTATTATTATCATCCTCTTAATTTTCTATAGGGCACCAAAGACAGGCAGAAAGAGAGAGGAAGTGAGAAAGCAAGCCACTAGATCTGGGACATGACCCTGTGTCAGCCATGTGGGAGTCCTGCTCTCCAACCACCATACCGCCTGCTGGCCCTCCCCTTTTTTTAATTTAAAAGAGATTTTTTACAGAGGGCCCATGTGCTCACTAGAGAGAGACACAGAAAGCAAGAAGTCACTGCCCTGGAGGGATGGCTGTGCCACAATCCCCTCTCCTCCAGCCTCCTCTTGGGATCTTGGGCACACATGCACACACTCTTGGCATGAGTTTTAAGTCAACGGGTCCAGGACTCGAACTGGGATCCACTACATGGGAGTCTATCGACATAACCATTATGCCAACTGCTGGTCCCGGCCATGTTTTTTTTTTTTTTTTTAACCCTTTTCTTCCCACGTCAGACGTGTTGCCTGATTCTCATCAGGGTTTTCCACTACGTTGCCCCCTCATTTTATCATGGTGGAAAAACAGGACGTAGTCATAAAACAGGTTCGTCTAGTTTTTCTGGCTCCTTGCCCGCTCCCCTAATCGGCAGACCACTTGATGCAGGACTCACCCACAGCACCCAGTGAGACCAGGATGTTCTCCCGGGGGTTGATGGTCTTGTCATAAGGGCGATATCCATAGAGGTGGGCAGCGCTGTTCACCAGCCAGGTGGCGTTGAGCACGGTGGCGTAGCGCAGTAAAGTGGCGACGTACAAGCTGTGCATGAAGGTCTCTCCCCAGAGACACCAGGGCACCAGTGTGGGCAGGATGAAGCACATCAGCAGGACCCCGGGGACGTAGTACCTAAGGCCAGATCACACGCGGCTCAGTGGGGAGGATCCGAGACCTACCCGGACTCCCACTCTCTCTGGGTTGGGCCGACTTTCCGCCTGCATCGCGAGCACAGGAGACACTCAGGGAGCGAGGTGGGGGCCTTCCGCGGCCGTGGCGTCATCTCGCTCTTTAGGTGAAGTCATGAGGGGGGTTAAATGGCTTCCCTGGGAGCAGGGACTGGAATGCATGTCTCCTAACCGTGACCCACTGCTCTTTTCTCGACGGTGGGACGGCGGCATGCGGGTGAGCCAGGCGGACCCACTCAACACAGCACACGGGGCTCTCCTTCCGCCTGCCGCCTCCCACCCGCGCTTTCTGGAAGAGTCTGGGTTTGGTGTCATGCTTCCATTTCCTGCTGGCCCGTCTCTGCTCTCCCCTCAGAGGCACACCGAGGGTCCTGGATCACCCCAAGGCCTCCGTCCCTCGGGAGGCCCTATTCTATTGTCATTCCCAAAGGAGTCCAGGCGGCCAACATTTCAAGAGAACCAACTCCGAGCATCCCTTCAGCTGTCAAACTCCTCACACCACTGACCTTCCCTGCCGCTAACTCCGTCCCAGCCTTGCCAGTCCTGAGCCTGCATCCGCTACCTGCCGGTGCCTCTGCCTCTGGTCTCAGCCTCGATGGCTTCTTTCACCTGCCCTGACAACAGCCTCTCTACAGCACATTCCTGATGGCTGCATGGTTGTTTCAAAAAAGCTAAAAACGGTTTTCAATCGCCCACTGAATTAGACCGTAAGTATGCTTTTAGGACTCTGTAAAAAATGGCATGCAGCTTTTCCAGCCCTATTTCCCATCACACCCAGACTTCACGCAGAAGGACTACCGTGGAATGTGATGTAAGCCTAGCTCGTTCTGTTCTGTTTGCACTGCCCCTCCCCACGTCCCTGTGAAAATCTCCCTCCATCAGTGGATTCCAAAGCTACTTTCTTCATGAACTCTTCCCTGAAGTCCCCCACTGAGCAATCTCCCTCCCCTCTGTACTTCTCACAGAAATATCCCATCCCGTATCACTGTTATTCAGGTACTCGGCTTCTTTCCACCCACCCCACGCTCCAAAATAGGATACACGTTCCTGGAATGTAAGAACTCGGCTGCATTCACCTTTGTAACCATGGCTACTCTAGGTCAATAGACATGTGTTGAATTGAATTGGTTTAATTAAGACAGCGCAGAGAGGAAAAACTGGAGCGATAGTCTACAGCTACAGGGCCTGGTGGGATCCAGAACACTGCGGTTTTAGATGAAGATGTGGAACCTGCAAACCCAATACACTTCTCAGGAGAAAAAAGGGAACCCCCAAATAGCAGCTGTCTAGGACCCGACCCCGACTTCCACCATCACTTCACTCACCTCCTCTGGAACATCACCAGTTTCTCAGCTCTTAGGTCAGACAAGTCTAGCAAAGCACCCTTCTCTTTGACGGCTGGGTGTTTGCGCACAAGCAGCCAACCCACGTGAGAGAAGAAAAAGCCACGTCGGGCGTTATGAGGATCAGCATGTGTTTCCGAGAACTTGTGGTGGACACGGTGATCTCTGGCCCATTCATAAACATCATTCTGGAGGGACAAAGAAGAGGAATGCAGGCCTGAAGACAGACACTCTCTTAGGAGAATTCCAACGGGGAGATATCTTCAGGAACCCACAGCTCTCAGCCCAACCTCACAAAACACCTAGGGATCTGGGCTCTGCAGGGATTCAGGAGCTCCCTGGATCGCTCAACTTGCCACTGAGGCCAAAGTGGACGAGCAACCTGAAGTTCCAGGACCACAGGAATAAGACTGCCGCTGCTTGAAGGTTCTATGGTAGGTAGGATGAAGGGAAGTCACACAGGCTCAGAGAGTTCCCTTGGGAAAGGACTTTAATTCTTCAAGCAAGGAATGGTGGAAAAGGTCTTCATGGCCCGCCTAACCCTGGACATGGAGGATACGAGGCAGGCAGCCTTGTGTCTTAGGGTCCTGGTTAGGAGATAGAGTTGGCAGAGGCTACCTCCTGGTGCTATGACAAGAGGAAGCTCATACCACCCAGGAACGAGACCAAACATGCAAATCACAGCCATGGCCGTATTTCCAAATGACCTCTGGGCTTCTCTGGGACTCTTTCCATCTCCTAAAGAATGTACCAATATTTTTCCTCCTTTTACCCGGCAAGGACATCACGGGGTCTCCAGATATGAGTGGCTTTGGCAGAGGTAAGTATGCGGATGCAGTAAGGATTTGGGACATGCCCTGCCAAAGGGGACTTACTGGTTTTCTCTTTGCCTTTTACTTCAAGCTAGGCCCCACGCTAGCTCCCTCCCCTGCCCACCGGTAAGAGCTAAATAGCTACGACGACGTCCTTTCTAAGATCTGTCTCCACTATACACTTTTTGCTCCAGTACCCCTTAATACCTGACTTAGCCAGCATGGCAGCCCAAGACAGGGCCACGATGCTGGTGACTTCATCCTCTCATCTGTAAAATGGTGCTAAAATAGTACCTCCCTCCTAAGACTGCTCATAGTGCCAGGCACATGGTGGGTGCTTGAAAAGTGTTTGTTCTTATCTGAAAACAAGTGGGTTCAATCCCCGAGGGAGGTCCCAAGATAGTCACTTTAAGAAATGAATTGCTTGTCCAATGTCTGCCCGGGAAAACGGTCCGCTGCTGACCATACAGCAGCCCCTATGCAGAAGCACAGCGGGTCCCGATTACCTGGGAACTTAGGACCACAGACGAGCCCAGGCAGAGAACACATCCTGTCCTCTCCTGTCTCCCGGGCCCAGTGACCTGGAAGTACCCTCCAGCTCTGTGGACTTAGGACTGGGCCTGCACCCGAGGTGACCACGGGGGAGAAGGAAGCAAAACGGCTGTCCAGGCGTGGGTCCCCTCTGGGCGCCAACGCCCTCCATGGTGGCCTGGATTATCGGTAGCTGGAGCACAGAGGGCTGTGCAGAGCCCGCTTCTTACCTGGAAGGCCATGGTGTTGGCGATGATCAGGAAGAGCCGCAGGGGCAGCCGAGCCTTGTAGGTGCGGTGGCTCCACAGGCGGTGTGCGCCGGCCGTGATGCCCAGGGCACTGACCAGGTAGTAGAACAGCACTGCCCAGAGGAGACCACGAGTCAGCACAGTGCACGTGCCCCTGGGCGGGCCTGCCGAGGACACGCTCCTGACGCCAGAGCCCGTGTTTCTGCAGGCACTCTGAACGCTACGAGTACTCTGCTCGCTTAGATCGGACCACTTGAAAACTGCCATCACCGCCCTGCCTCTTCACCTAGGAACTGGGATAGGCTAAGGAGTTCCAGGAGCTAAGGAGTCAGAGGCAGGAGAGTGGGTAGGGCTGACCACACGACCACTTGTCACTCTCAGTCTGCAGGGGCAGTACCCAGGTCCTATCTCCTCTGAGCTGCAGCTGACCGCTACGGTTTTAGTTGTTTGTTTTGCGGTAGGGCATGTGTGCTCACCAGAGAGAGGAAGTAAAAAAGCACCCCCCACGGGGGGTTGACCACACTGCTATCCCTTCTCCATTCTCCTTGCAGATATTTGGGCAGGCATGCATGCATGCCCGGTGAGTTTTTCAAGCCACCAAATCTGGGACTCGAACCACTCAATCGGCCATGTGGGATCTAGGTACTTTCATCTCCATGCCACTCGCTGGCCCCTCCTCTATAATTGTTTAAGGACCACAAATTACTCTTGGGATGTTTAGGACCCATAAACAAGGGTGTTATTAAAATAATAGCCAGTAACATCCAGGTACTGACCAATTCTAGCAGTCCTGAGTCGTAGAGGACATGCGGGAGACGCAGAACGATGGCTACTTACCAGCCGGTATGAAAGCATTTTGGTACTTTAGCAGGCAGTGTGGCCTTATCAGGGAAAATCAGCCCTGTGCACAAGTCGTTTGTGTCCTGTCTCGGGCTTTACCGAGGATTCTGATATTCTCTAATCCACTGGCTATAGCCTGTCTAGGGGGGTGGTGTGTTACTGTCGTCACCTTACAGTTGAAGAAACAGAAACTCAGACAGGTGGCTCCCTATGGTCACGTGGCCAGTACGAAGGGGAGGCATGGTTCGAAGCTAGGTTTCGGTCAGCAAGCATTCGTGTTTCAGCTCTACCACTCGCTGCCGCTCCAAGACACGTGCACACTTCTGTCACTCCACTGCCACGCCAGCCACTCTCATCAGGCTTCACTAAGTCTGGACAGTGGTGGGATACCCTCAAAGCCATCAGCAGAGCACCCCAGCGTTGTCCTGCCTCTCCTCCCAGAAGCCTGCAGGCCCGGAAGGTGCAAACTCTAATCTCTAAGTAGGAAGCGGGTTGCTGGGTGTACCCTTGTCTCCCTCCATTCAGCAGCTCTGGGAGGCAGGGGCTGAGGCCTTGGTACAAACTGTGGGCTAATGTCTCACTCCCAGGGAAACAACTAGAAACAATAGCTCCTCAGTGGCCTCGGACTTAGTTGCAGTTGGAGACACCACACATTGTAACAAATTGTCCTGCTCTCTGGCAGCCAGACAGCAGTCTCCCGAACAGCCTCCTCTCCCTCCCCTATCTCCTCTTCCCGTCCTATTCCACCTGGAGAAGCCCCAGGAGGGCCTGCCCCCATGGAAGTTCCCTCCACATTCCCTGTGGGCCGGGATTAAGCCACCAGGTGGCTTTGCTGGCTTAGGCCATGTGGTGGTCGGTATCTTGCCACCGTATCTCACTGTATCTGTCCCAGAAAAATGAGAGTTAAGCTTCCAAAGGGGGGGAAAAAAAAAAAGCTATGAAAGCACCCAACTCAGATCCGAGGAAGCATCTGGGGTTGTTCCATGCCACAGAAGACCTGGCAAGTTGACTCAGGAAACACATAAGATGTCACATTAACAGGGGGATTGGGAAAGAACCAGGCGCTCCAATGCCCTCTCTATGAACATTTCTTTTTTTTTTGGCTATAGAGAGCGTGCGCTCCCCAGAAAGACAGAGACAGAAAGCAAGAAATCATCCCCCAGGGGGGATGGCCATACCACAATCCCTTCTCCTCTCGGGCTCTTGGGTATGCATGCACATGTGCCCGGTGTGAGTTTAAGCCACCAGGTCCAGGACTCGAACTATGGTCGACTACATGGGAGTCCAGCGACATAGCCATTACGCTAACTGCTGGTCCCTCTATGAACATTTCTAAGTCACTCAGTTAGAAGGGCTTAAGTCAGTTCTTCCCCAGGGGCAGAATCACTAATGGCCCAGTGGAAGCTCAAGCAACATCTCATAGCTTTGGCCCTAAGAAAGAGACTTGAGGGGTGTTGACGAGTGGTCTCTTCAGCCCTACCTTAAGAGAAATGCTAACATCACAGCCAGTTGCTAATTCACTGCCTTCTTTAGAGATAAAATAAGAAAAGAAAAAGAATCTGAGACCTCTGACCCTCCTTTCTTATTCCTTAAGACAAAGGAGTTCTGACACCCTCCTATCAGCATCAAGACACTCATCCACTACAGGGCCCAGGGACAGCCAGGGACAGGAGTAAAGTCACGTCACCATCCAGTTTCGGTGTGCCACGTTTCTCCGTCCAAGGGCTCAGCACACACCCATGGGCAAGGCACCAAAAAGGTAGCGGGCATAGGCTTAGCTTCGGGAGAGCATTCTACTCCCTGCGCTAGCAGCCAGTGAGGCCAGGCAGACCATCCGGGCAAACCCTGTCCTTAACAAGGGCTACCCAGTGCTGAGGCTGGAAGGCGCCTGAGGACCTTCACAAGGTCCTTGTGAAGTCTCCCTCCTTAGGAGACAACTTCAGTCCTGCTGCGTTCTCAGAGGGGCTAGAGGTGGCCCCCTCCTTTCGCAAATATAAAAGCCCTTCTTCCTTTTTTTTCTTAAGGTTTCTGCCATAGGGAACGTGCATTTGCCAGAGACAGAGAGAGAGAGCAAGTGAGAAATCAGCCCCCCGGGAGATGGCCACGCTGCAATCCTTTCTCCTCCATTCTCCTCTTAGGGTCTTGGGCACGCATGCACATGTGCCCAGTGTGATTTTCAAGCCACCGGGTCCAGGACTCAAACTGTGGTCAGCCCTATGGGAGTCCAGCACCTTAACCACCGTACCACCTGCTGGCCCTATAAAGCCCTTTTTGCTGGCTCTCATGATGTGCCTTTGCCACAACTATGACAGAAAGTAACCCAGGGAAAGCTTCCTTCCTGGTCCTGAAAAAGTTCTGTTGCCCCCAGCTGGGACCTACAAAAACCGAGATCCCAAGAAAGGAGATCCTGGTCGCTGTTCCCGAGACGGAGCTTGGCGGACCACATCTCACCACCTTCAGAAGGCTGCAACTACTATCAGCCCTGCTCCATAACTAGCCTCCAAGAGTAAGCTGTCAGGGGCTGGCAGGTGGCATGGTGATCAGGGTGCTGGACTCCCACATGGGTGAACACGGTTTGAGTCCTGGACCTGACAGCTTATGTACTCACTTCCCATTTCTCATCCTCTCTGTCTCTCTCTGGTCAAACTGACAAAGAATAAGTAATGTTAGCAATAAAGTCAAATAAATAAATAAATAAATAACTCCTTGGGGGGGGAGCTGTCAAAAAACACCCCACACTTGAGAAACACCCTGAAAAACCTTGAGTTGTTTTCTGGAGAGGGTGTCCTGGCTCACCCTGGGTCTGGGGCACTCCCAGCTCTCCCTTCACTGGTGAAATTGCCCGCAAAGCACATGTGCGTCCAGGGCTAGGGCCTGGTTCAGCCCGCACAGCTGGATCACGAAAAAGCTGAGCTCAGGGCAGCTCAGGGACAAACCCAGAACGCTCCCTCACTGCAGCAGTCGCAAGGCCCGGCTGCTTGGGCTTCTCTTTTCTGGCCTTGGGTACTGGGTCGGGAGGGCAGCCTGGCTGTCCCTGGCTGGGAAGGCCGAGTAGTGGGACAGGGAGGATGAACGTCAGAAGCCCCTGAGTCCTTGGCACTTCCTGGCACCAGCAGAGAGGGAGGGAGCGGGCTGGATGGGAAAGGCATTAGGAATCATGTCTTCACTCTCTTTTCCTTCTAGGAACATTCCATGGACAGCATGCGCAACACCTTGGAGAACCCGGTGGCGTGACAGCGCTACACACGTATGACCTGGGCCACACAGGAGCCTTCTCCACCTTTCTAACAAGGGATCCCATCTAGCCAAGGGGTCAAGCCAGATGGTTTTGCAGGTAACCAGCCCTCTCACTCCCTTTTCAATCAACTCGCTCCCTGAGCGGTTTCCCTGCCCTGCTCAACCCACACTTCCCTACTCTGCAGAGCCACTGAGCCGGTGACATGTCCCCACACCTTCTGTGGCTGGCAGGGCTGGGACAGACAGTCGAGCAATGACTCCAGCAGCAAAGCTCTTTCAGGGCAAGCTGACTTCCTGGCCAAGGAGCTACACTGGAAGGCTGGCAGCACTTGGTCTCAGGGAGCCCCAGAACTGTCAGCCCTGCACCTCAGCCCCTAGGCTCCAATCCCAGTCTCAGGCAACCAAAGAGAAGTGTGGGGAAATCTGGGCCAGGAGGGACCAGCTTCCCTGTAAGGTCCTACCTTATTAAAAGAGCAGTGAGAACCCTGGGTACTGAGTCAGGAGGACAGGGGAACCTGCTTACCCCAGAGCCAGGTGTAGAACTTGGAGGTGGGAAACAAGACGATCCCATACAGGGCTCCCAAGTGCAGCAGAGACATGAGGATGATGTTTCTCCAGACGTACTCCAGCTTGGGCGCCGGGCCCTCCTTGTCCTGGTAGCTGGGGTCGTGTATGTCATCGCTGATTTCCGGGCGGATGTCCTCGTCAAAGCACAGGGACGTTTTCTCCAGCTTGCCGCCTCCATTCTGCAGGACCCTGGAGGGAGGGGCTGTGATAGTGGTGGTGGTGGTGTAGGAGCTGGAGATCTGGAAGGGAGAGGAGGAGGCAGCGGTCAGGAGGGGACACGTGGAGGGCGGCCACTCCGCTCAGCAGGCTGGGGGCAGGGTGGAATACAGGCGCAGTCCCTGCCCCAAGGCAAACGGGTGAGTAGAGCGGCGTGTAGCCCGCGTGAGAAGAGGGGAGGGTTCCCGGAGACGCCGGGATAGATGGGATGAAGCCTCAAGGTGGAGGGGAAGTGGGTCGGGGCTAAACGCTCGTCCCCACTATGGACACACAAAAGAAAACCCGCACCGACCATACAAGTACCGCACGACCAGGTGCGTCTCTACTTCGGACACACAAAGGAAAACCCGCACCGACCGTGCAAGTACCGCACGACCAGGTGCGTCTCTACTTGAAAGCTTAAGAAACAAAAGTTGGGGAATCCAGTCCCCAGATTACAATCCACATTCCCAACCAGCTGAAGGCTGTGCCGCTCGGAAAAGTGGCCAAGTCCTTCCGGAGGTCTCGACTCTCTCCCCCAACACCCAGTCGCCGAGCAGCCCGAGCCGGCCGGCGAGCCCGCGGTGTGGCCGTGGCCGGGAAGCTCACCTCCTCTTGCAGCAAGTGGGCCGGCATCTTGGCTCCCAGAGGCTAGGCTCCCTTTCCCCGGGCTGAGACTGCGGGCCGGAGCGCGGGACCGCGGGGCCAGAGGGTGGACTCGTTCCGGAGCGCTCGGAGCCCTTCTGCGAGCCCTGCACGCTGGATGGGTGTCGGAGCCCGACCTGCTGTGCGTGGATCTCCCCGGGCTGGGGATTTAAAGGCTCGAGCTGGCAGTGGGTGACCGTGTCCCGTATTTCCTCAGACCCCTTTTATCCGCTGCCAACAAGGGGCAAAGTGCGCAGAGTTGGCTGGCCGAGGCAGCCCCGCGTGGAGGTGAGGGCGGGAGAGGGGAGGAGACAGCCGAGGCGTGCAGCGACCGGAGCCGGACACCGGGATGCTGCAGACACCGACACCGCGCCGCCCCTGCCCCTGCCCCTGCCCCAGCCCCTGGGG